GTGGCTCCGCGGGTCCCCCAGGGACCTGCGGCACCCACATTGTTAGTGTATGTGCCATCTTCCTCTCTCTGGAGTGCAGGTAGTTCTGTGCAGGGCTGGGGTCAGTCCTGCCCCCGTGCCAGCTGTAACAACGCTAAGGGTGAGGGTGAGCCCGGTGGGCAGCCCTCTGCTTCCTCAGCTTGCCGCAGTGGGCACTGCCTGCACAGCCTTGAGCTCAAGCTAATGAAGCTATGCTTTTCAATGAAAATTATTTGCTAAATGAAGCTGGTTCTGATGTGATGGCTGTTTCCATACATTATGGAGCCTAAAATCTTGAATGTGGCCATGGGAATTGAAATCTGATTACCAGGAGCACCATTTGTCCCATCATTAAGATGGGCTGTGTCTTTTTAGTTAGGTTTCTAGCTATGTTGCTTGATTTGAATGTCCTACAGCCCCTTACAACCTTGATACTTTTACTGTGTGAGCTATAACTCATTTCTGTGGAAGAAACAAAACACTGTTAATTGTAAAGCACAGTAATCCCATAATCTCTCTAATTGGAGTTTTGACTGCAATTTTTTAGATTAGGTCTGATACTCAGTATCTCTGGCAAAAGTTTGCTGAGGAGGTGAATGTATGTACAATGGAAAGACAGTGTGTATGGCTCTGTTTCAAACTTTCTTCTCAAGGACTGGGCTGAAACTAGGCAGAAAAATCTGGTTTTATGGAAAACTAAGTAACTTCATAGGTTCAATTTGTAATCTCTTGTTTCCTAATCCTGCCAATCATAATTTTGTAAATTTCTTTTTTTTTTTGAGGGTCTTTTTAAATTTCAGGGGGTTAAATGAGGCATAGGGAGGTCTGCAGCCTCAGGGAGGGTCAGTTTGGCCCAGAGCCTGCTTTTAAAGCTCTGCTGTTCCACTTCTGGTCCCTAGTAGACATTTAAATCCCTTGTAGGGATTTAGCACTGTGCACTCTCTTTTTCCTCTTGCTCCTTTTCTCCTAGTTTTGCTGTGTTGCTTTCTATAGCTGCATGAACTGGAAGGAGAAGAATAGCAGAACACTCAAGGAATGATAGGGAAGATATTTTTAGCCAGAGTGGAAGTTTAAGTGCTGGAAAGGAAATACACAGTGAACAAGCCCTGTGAATACTTAACTTGGTCTAGCATGAACTGCTGCTTCTTTTCATCATGGAGATCTGCTTCTATCTCTTGTTGCCTCTGCTGATCAAATTTGTGACTTTTGATTATTTATCCAGCTGTAGGTGAAAACTTGCAAAATGTATAAATTTTCAAGGGGCAATGGGTTTAAACATAAACAGGTGAAATTCAGGTTAGATAAAAGGAAGAAGTTCTTTACTGTGAGGGTGGTGAGGCACCGGAATGGGTTTCCCAGAGAAGTGGTAAATGTTCCATCCCTGGCAGTGTTAAAGGCCAGACTGGGTAGAGTCTTGGGTGGCATGATTTAGTGTGAGGTGGGTTGGAACTAGATGATCTTAAGGTCCTTTCCAACCCAAACCATTCTGTGGTTCTGTGATTCATATGTATATACATATCTGGGGTTTTTTTATATATGTGAGAGAGAATGTATTCTGAAACTGTTTCCTGCTTTATGGCTTTTTTGTAGGTGTTGATTAAACTACATACTTTCTGCAGTATTGATTTCCCCCTCTTTCCAGGTTATTGGTTTTATGACAAATAATTTTATGTCTCTGGATTTTTAAATTAATTTTGTAATTCCCATCTAAGGGTGTGTTATTGTGCACAGCTGTCTCTTCTTGGAATAGATAATAGTCTAGCTGAAATGTCATTGTTTCTTAAATCTGCTGCCTCTTCTATTTTCTTCCTTACTTGTCTGAAGCTGAAAGGAAGGGAGGTGAGAGGGAGGGAGAGAGGGGGAGGTGTGGCAATATTGCTGCTAATATTTCTTTACGTCCCAGCTGTAGATGCATACTTAAAATAGCAGGACTCATCTTGTACATCCTTTGATCTCCTATGACTGATCTAAAATGCTGCTTCCCGGCAGGCACCAGGTGGTTTTACTTTCATTTGCAACTCTCCTTCTCCGAGTTTCAAGTCCCAACTTTGAGAGAAAGTTAAAAAGAAAGAGAAAATAAATAAATCAACCTGGCTGAATGTGGGGAGAATTCACCTTCAGCTGTTCTTGACAAGAGGTTTTGGGCGACTGGTTTATATCAGAAAAAAAAGAGGATTTCCCCCTCCCCTCCTGTTTACTTTGATTGTATATTTGTTTATTGTTTTGTTGGTTTTTTTCTTTGACTTTTCTTTCTTTCTTCGTTGCAAGCCACTTCTTAGGGAATCTTTCACATCCCTTGTCACGTATAATTATTTACTGAGAAACTTTAGCTGCATGCACAGTGGGTAATGTGCTCTCATTACCTGTGGTTTTCCAATTTGAATTCAATTTATTCTTCTCAATTTTGATGAAACCAGAAGTCTTAATCTTTAACTGTACTTTAATTAATCCAGCAGCTGGTTCCAGTTAGAGATCTATAATCAAGGCTTATTTTAAGGAACAATGTGAAACATAACAGAAACATGAAGTGGACATCAGTTCTGTTTAATGTATGTGTGTTCCTTTTTTGTTTTGCTTTAAATCCAAGAACTTTGTCTTTATTTCCTGTCAAGTTTTGAATTCCTGAAACAGAGCAAAGTGATTATATACAGTTTGAAGTAGATGCATCTGAGATAATCTTATTCATGGAGGAGAAGGATGCCAGTTCGAGCTCCTGAGATGTGGAAGGGGAGCTTTATAAGCTATAGGTGCCCCCAAGCTGGTAGTACAGCTCTGCCTGCCTGTTTCCTCATCTGCAGACAGGGTCTAATGCTCCTTGCCTTTCCTAACTCTGTTTTCCAGCTCATGAGACGCTTGTCAGGCATGATTTCTTGTTGCTCAAAGGTAATGATTTACCATAGCCTCCTGTAAAATGTAGAATTCTTTCTTTTCCTTTCCTGCTGTGCCAAAGAGGCGTATTCCTCCTGAGGGCTGAATCGACATCTCAGAAACAATGGCATGTCCATCAGTATTCCCCAACACCCATCTGAAAACAGCTCATGGGTGCTTTATGGAATGAAGCATCTGGGCCCTCAAGCATTCAGGGTCTCTTTTCTAATTTCAAGATCAGTTTCATGAGAATAACTTTTCTAGACAGTGATGGTTGGAAAGGATGATGCAGATTTGTGTGCTGTGTATGGTGGAAAAAAAAAGGAGAACTGGGAGGGTACAGTCCCCAGCAACAGCAAGAATGTCTGAAGCTTTGAGCTTTTTCTCATCAGCTTTCTCTTTGGCTTACCTTAGGGCTGGGCTTCAACATTGTTGGTGGGACAGATCAGCAGTACATTTCCAATGACAGCAGCATCTATGTCAGCCGGATCAAAAAGGATGGGGCAGCTTACCTTGATGGCCGATTACAAGAAGGAGATAAAATTTTATCGGTAAGCCCTTTCTTCTGTCGCCCCGTGTATTCTTGAAGTGCTGTGATCAGTGATGATGTGATAGGAGATGGGGGTTTGCCATCGCAGTGCACAGAGAGGAAAGATTTGATGGATGCAGTTAGGTGATGCTGAACACACTCTGCGGAGGAGCTATCTTGGGGGTCTGGGGAGAACTTTGAGCACTAGGGAGATGAGTGCCTCTACACATGGGCCCATCTCTTCTGCCTTCTTGATTTGTCTCACAAGCACTCCTTGGTGCTGCATTTATATTTCCTCTGTGACTTGCCTCCCAGAAGCTTTAGATTCCATCAGACCTTCTCTTGCTCACAATGGATTGTCATTGACACACAGGTAAATAAAGGTCTTCCACCTCTAAGCTTCAATATTTTTTACTGATCCTTTTGCTCAGGGGGATTTTTAGGCTATAAAACTCTTTATTTCAGCTGATCAGGAATAATGCAGGCTGCTTCTCCTTTTAGAAAAATGTTTTAAAGTGGCTGAGGTTCAGTCCCGCTGGTTCTTCAGACAGTTGGCAGTCATACAAGACAATGTGATTTACAAAGTGGTTGGGTGAAGAAGTAGCCTTTCCTAGTGTGATACATGATCTTTTAATACTCCTTGATTTTATTTTATACTTGTTTATTATGTTCCACATGTAATCTTTTAGCTTCTACAAAGTGCCTTGCAGTAGTTGGAGCCTGTTATTGATCCAGAAAGTGATATTAAGTTAAACAGAGAATATTATCCTATCTTTTCTTGACAGTTTAATATTTACATACTTTGGGCAGTTTGGGCAGTCTAAATATCAAGAGAAAGGAGGCACTGGGTGTGAGCTCTGAAGATACAGTTAGGGGTAGTGGGGATGAAAAATTAAAATTAGTACAGATATCATCAGTTAGTGAATGAAATCAAATAGGTTATAAGACCTTCTGCCTTGAGATACTATTTTAGATTAAGAAAAATGCTAACACTTTCAAGTAAGTGGTTGCCAAAATGTATGTAAGTCTTCTTTTGTTTTCTTCTGTTATATCAGTATGCTTTTAAATGTATGTTTACCATGCTTTTTCAAATAGAAGGGTTTCAAAGGTAGAGCAGCAGAGGGAACAATGTGGGAAAGACACTCATAATAATAATTTTGCTGTAGCTGCTCTATTATTTTCATTAGCTGTCAGATTTACACCTTTGATTTATTGCCAGTAAAGCAACAGTATAAGAACCTGCTATTGACACAGCTGTCATCTTCTATCCTGATTTTGCTTCTAGGCAGTTATTTCCAGTACCTCTGTGTTGTGGCTTGGGGTTCCTCTTGTTATCTCTCAACATATAAAAATACATCTATAATACGAATGGATGAATCTTGCTGATTCATGTCCTAAATGCAGCGTTTTGTGAAAAAGGGAGAATTTTATCTCCTTCCTATGTTAGCCTGCATCATTAAAAATTTACATTTGCCCTTCAGCAACTGGTTTTCCTTTCCCTTTTTTGCTAGGTTAATGGCAGAGACTTGAAGGATTTGCGGCACAAGGATGCTGTGGAACTGTTCAGGAATGCAGGCTGTGACGTGTCTTTGAAAATTCAGCGCAGGGTATGTTTTACCTGTTTCTTAGGGTTATTTCTGTCTCGGTTTAGACTGGTTTCTGTGATTGATAGGTCTCTATTTCATGAAGCAGAAAAAATGTGATGTCCAGTGCTCTATGTGAATTATGCATACAAGGATTTTATTTGAACTGTAGCCTCTCTAGTTGACCATGGCTGTAATCATCCGTGCATTACTTGTTTGTATCAGTATCACGGAAGAGGTGAGTTTGGAGAAGTCACCAGGTCTTTGTTTTGCTGGAATATGCTGTGTTTTCTCAGAGATCTCTTTTCTCAAAGGTTTGTCTGTGAAGACAAAGTCTCAAGTTCCCCAGTTTCCCAGTTTTGTTTCAGAGGTCAAAATCTTACTGGAGGCAAAACTCTCCTGTTGTTTCAGGGTTCATCACTTAGGTTAGTGTCGAGATGTGTGTGCAGCCCACTAGTACAAGAAAGACATTGAGGTGCTGGAGCATGTCCAAAGAAGGGCAGTGAAGCTGGTGGAGGGTCCGGAGAAAAGTCTTATGAGTAGCAGATGAGGGAACAGGGATTGTTTAGCTTGGAGAAGAGAAGGCTCAGGCAGGACCTTATTGGTCTTTACAACTACCTGAAAGGAGGATGGAGAGCAGGAGTTGTTGGTCTTTCCTCCCAGGTAACAAGCAATAGGACAAAAGGAAATGGCCTCAGGTTGCACCAGGGGGGTTTAGACTGGGAATTAGGAAAAATTTCTTTAGTGAAATGGTTGTCAAGCATTGGAACAGGCTGCCCTGGAGTGGTTGAGTCGCCGTCCCTGGAGGTACTTACAAGACATGTACATGGGGTGCTTAGGGGCATGGTTTAACAGTGGACTTGGCAGTGCTTGGTTAACAGTTGGACTCAATGATCTTAAAAGTCTTTTCCAGTCTAAATGATTCAATGAAATGTGGGCCGCTATAGTTTAAATATAGTGGCACCATTTTGGATATAGAAAGAAAGAAATCCTTAATGCACTTTATAACTTGGAGCTAGCACAGAAGTTGACAAAGGAAGTACTGATCAGCCTGAAGCATGCTGGTGGGGAGAGGTGGGTTGAGTCCCCTCTTCTACTCCCTTAGTAAAGGAATAAATGTTCTGGACTAGCATACAAGTCAAGTAAAAGAAAAACAACAAAGAGAATTAGTGATGCCCTTTTCCTTGTAAAAATACCAGGAAATGGTGTGGTGGGAAGTGCATCAAGGGATGACTATTGCTTCTGCTGTATGAGATGTACCCAGCTCCATCTGTTACAGCCCTGGTTTACAAAGTGGCAGAGAAACATGAGGGTGCCTGGTAGTGACTGAGTACCCTGCAGTAAAGCTCAGTCCATCCAAAGCCATTCCAGCCCTCTCATGTGTGGAATGTACAGATACCAGGGAAACCATTGTGCACATCCTCACAGAACCACCTGATACTGACACAGAACTGGGGGCTCTCCTGTGATGGGCTCTGACGCAAATACCTTTTTTTCCTTGTAGTTGCAGCCACAGAATGGCCCTGTGGGTCATCGAGGCGATGGAGAATCAGGCGGGCTTCCTCTAGCAGCCATTCTTGTGCCAGGCCTGGCGCTTGCTGCGGCAGCGGTCTGGATCTTGCTGAGGTATCGACAGCGGATGTGAAGAGTTCACGTTTTGGATATCACTGCGTATTTACACAGCTATGATGTAATTTAAAGATAGAGAATCAACGATCTTATCACAGACTGACGTCAAAGAGGATCATTGCCTATCGTAAAGCTGCTGCTGATGTTCTCTGTATGTTGATTTTGTTGCAGGGTGGATGGAAGCAGAGAGGAAAAGGGGAAGGGAGATGACTGTTCACATATAGGGTGAGATAGCTGGTTTTTTGACTAATCTGAGGAGGTTTTGACATCCCCCTCTATTTTGCACCATGAACTTTCGAACACTCATCTATTTCTTGTTTTAAGATGTGATTTGTTAAAGGGAGTGGGGGTTGGGGTGGTTTTAAATCAGAAACATTTACTAGAGGCTTTGCCTTGTTTCTACTGCATTTTTCTTGAAACTAATGAACCCTGTCTGAACCATGAATAAAGAGAAGCAACACAGAGGGTATATTATTTTTTCCACTGAATTTTTGTTGGTTGTTGCTAAATAAATGCCTTAGGAAAAATGTACAAAATCTGATCTGTGGCTTCACAGGTAAAATCATCAGTGTAGCTGCTGATTTGACAGTGATGTGCAATATTGATGAGGTATTCTACCAGTTCTGGGAAGATAGAAGATAACCTGCTGATTGACTGCTCATTGTTGGGTCAGAACTGTAAGAGAAAGCTTTCCACAAAATGCTAGCATACAGGAGAGAGACCAGCAGACAATTGAATCACAAGGATAAGCAGTGGCAAGAGATTTGGGCATGCTGAAGCTGCAGAAGTGTCTTTAAATTAGTAATGAAGCAGTATTCCCTCCCTCCATCAAGTTGGGTTGAAGTCGGCATTGCTCAGGTTAAAGGTCTCTTTTGGGGGTTATTTTTTGTGTGGGCAATACTTCAAACAAAGTTTTCTGTAGCAGCTAACTTGCTTTCTGCAGTCAGAGAATCTTACGATGATTGAAAGGGAGAAGTCAAGAGAGACTGGGATCGTGAAGCTGATGTGATATTCAGGAGATAGAGTGGCAGATGTATGCCAGGGTAAGGCTTAGTGAGTAAAACCAAAGGGAGAGACCCTTGCTCTGGAAAGCATGTTGCTGAATTTACCTGCAGGGTCTCATCTCATCACTGTGATTTGTATGCTTTTAAATGCCCCAGCTGACATGAGGTTTGTGGGGAAGACTTGTTTCTCTTGTTTCCAAGATATCAATGTGTTTTGTTGTTTTTGTAAAAGAGAAGCAAAATGCATGGTCTGGTCTTGTATGATGCCCAAAAAAAATCCCATATGCAATATATGTATTCAAAAAAGAAAAACTGGTGTGTCAGTGCTTTACTTACCTCTGCTTTTTGTTATCCTAGCAGGACATTGCTGATGTATTTGAAATCGTTGTGTGATCGCTCAGGGCTGTATTCCTGCTTATTTCTGCTGTCTGCTAGAGATAGAAATGGTACCTTGTTATACATGACATTCCTAAATCACCATGGAGTTTCAGAGGACTTAGACCACATGAAATCTTGTTTTGGCCTATAAACTGCTCTAGTGTAAGGGGAAGATGAAACAGGAGGAATTTCACTCAATGTTCTTAGGGGAACAGACTTGAGGTTTGGTGCATGTATATTGGTGTTGGATGGCCTGGGCTGGTGCATGCAGTGACTTGCCATGGCCTGCAAACTGATTACGCAGAAGGGCTGCTGTTCAGACAGATCTTTGCAGATGCAGCATGAACCAGCTTGCTTGTCTGTGACCTGCTCTGAATGTTTGGCTGTGGTGTCCACACGGAGCACCCACATGGATTAAGATGGATGATTAGAAGTTGATGCTGTTGTGTCAGCCATCAGAATAAAGATACAGAAGGTATGAAAGGTCTATCTGGGACAAGCCTTTGGCTAGCCCTTGCCTGAGCTGAGTTTCTGGGAAAGGGAGTATGTGGAACAGGCTAGTAGGATGAGGATCTGCAGAAGGGAGTGGTTAGTTTTACTCATTTCCAATTGAAGTAAGCATAGAAAGCAAAGCCTTTAAGTGTTTTTGTGTTTGGGTTTCTTTTTTCAGCTTTGGGATTTTGATACTGTTCAGACGTGATTGCCATCTGGTCTGCAGGCAGTTTATTACAGAGGCAGGGTATCCAATGCCCAGATAACTGATGTAACTTATTGAGCAAGAAAAGGCCCTTCTGGTGCATAGAATTCCCTTGGATTTCTTTTCACAATTACAGGAGCACCTTCCTGCATCTGCTACCTTCAAACCCGTGCCTGAGGAGTACCAGCACTCAATCCCCAGCCACCTCTTCTTCCACTTATTGGCAAAATCCTTGTGGAAAATACACCTCAACCTCAAACTTCCCTGTGATCTTTGGCTCATAATACTTTCTCTCAGCAGCTGGACTGTCTCACCTAAACTTTGTGTGTTTCCAAACTCTTTTCCACCATGAAGTTCCTGTAGCCTTGAGTTTCATCCTTACGCTGAACAGTGTGTATATATTGTCTGCAACTGTGAAAGAAATGAATTAAAAGTAAATCTAATAAGGACAGCTGGGAAATGCAAGTGATCAGAGTTTTAGCTTTTGTTACAACTTAAATCTGGGTTTTAGGGAAAAAAGTAAGTTGAAATTTTGAAGACAAACATAAAAAGCATTCTAACTAATTTGTAAGTTTGGGTTTTTTTAAGAACTCATTTGCCATTAATACTGAGCACAGCTGGAACTCTTAAATCCCCTGTTTCTCTCCCATTCTCATCTGTTCCCTCAACACTATTGTGAACTTACTGACCTGCTGAAGCCTGGATTTACATATCCATGGTTTAAAGGCAAATCCATCTAGTTTGTCTTCCTGTATATTCTAGGCATTTGTGTCTGTCAGTCTCCTGAATTAGATGTGCTAATAATACATATTTGACTTAGCATGACAGTGAGAAAGAGCAGCCAGACTTGATCTGAAGATAGGAAGATGCACTACTTCTGGCACTTTTTTTGATTAAAACAAACTAGAAAGGAGTGTGTGGGAGGGAATGGTGCCTTGCTTTCAGGTTCCTTTAGGTTCCAGCAACTGGTTTGCCTTTAGGTTCCAACAACTGGTTTGTTAGGTTGTTCTGTGCTAGATTAAAGAGGCCTCTAATAACTGATCGTCCCTCCCTGTGAGGGGGTTTGTGTGTTGTAATTGCCTTACCTCTCACATTATATTTAAGAAATGAAGCCAACTGAGGCCCAAGATTCACAGTGTAAGATACTTTCTGTCTTTGAGAAGTTTCTGTGGCTTTCTGCACCCTTTCCAGTGTTTCTGTAGCACTTCATAAACTCCAGACTTCTTTTGGTGAAGGTGCAGACACATGCAAGGCAAATCTAAGTTAGTTCCTAGGAGCTGGCTTTTCTCAATAACTTAGAAATCTCTTAGAAGTGCTGTACAGCTTTCTCCTCTTCATTTGCTTTCTCAAGTGCCCTAAGGAACCTGTAAACCACAGAATAAACACCATTGCCACATGAGAGGCAAATTCTCTTAATTCCAGGTTGTGGATCAAAAGAGCAGTCCCTTTTTGCCATAGTGTGACATGAGAAATAAGTGTTAAATGCCTGTATATTCTGACTTCTGAATCCTTGTCAGACCCAGTGGGACCTCCATGGTGTGGGTGAAGGTGTCTGACTTCGTATTTTGATGAATGACTTGCATCTCCTACTTGCAACAGCTGTATACACTGATGAACCCAGATGACTTTCTCTCTACCTTGTCTGCTGTAATATTTACCCGTCTACTATCCTGACTGGTTTTGTCTTTTACCAGATGATTGGTGAAAACACTGGAGTTTGGTACAGAGGCAACTTTCCCGCATGGTTATGATTTTTCAGTAACTGGTGGTATCTCGTCGTTACTGGATTCTTTGTCAAACAGATGCATTTTTATAGTGTATAGCATTGATTTAAAAAAAAATACATTTATCAGCATGTGAAGTGGATTACATCTGAGTGGTCAGTGAGCTTCATCTGTTCTCTTGCTGGCAGAAGCTGATGCAAGGGTAATAATCAGGTCAGATGAGCTTTATGGGGCAGTCTTCCTCCCATGTTCTTTCCTAATTTATTGATGTGGATTTTGCCTCTAGAAGTCATTTTCCTCTACTCAGGTTGAAGGAAAGAGCAGATGGCTTTACAGTGTCCCACCAGCTGGGGGCCCAAGGGAAGGGTTATGTGAAGAAGTCTGAAGGAGGGCCTTAACTATATCTTGTCCTCAGGGTTTTCCTCATGATTAGCTTCTGGCAGGCTCATGCTGCATCTGTGCTGCCGTGCTTGGTATATTCATCTATGGAGCTCTGCTCTGTCTCTTCCCCATGTGCAGCTGAGGGGGACTCCAGGTCTTTTAGAGCTTCATTGAAGGAGGATCCACATGTGAAGAGCAATGTTGTGTGGACTCAAACAGCTTTCCTTGTCAAATTTGAAAGCTTTGTCCTTGCTGCTGAAGCTGTAACTGATTGCAGGCAAGCTTCACTGTAAAGTGAGCTGTTTATCTACTATTGGGCTGCCAAACCCAACTTTCCTAGGCTCCCACTCTTAGAAAAGAACAGTAACTGTGCCTAGTATGCAGGGTAGTTACTCAAAGTGGCACATGAATGATTTGAGATCATTCACCAAGCTTTCATGCTTGGTTTTGGGTCTGGCTCTTTCATCCATGTTTCCCTTTGGTAAAGTTTTCTTCCCTCTCCTCCCTCTTTACCACCTCTAAGCAGCCTAGCATTTGTGCCTAGCTTGCATTTTTTGCCTTGACACATAGAAAACCTGATGCTTTTGCTCCATGTCAGGAAGTAGTGATATTTGTTAATTCAACTGTGTCCCCTTAGTTGCTCTGAGTTAGCTCTGTTGGAGTTGGTGTTACTTACTCCATTTCTCTTCCCTTCGGAAATGAATGTTGTGACTTAGTTCTGTGACTGCCCTCCTCCTGGCTGTTTTGTCAGGTGTTGGAGGATAGATTGTCAGAACACCAGGTACAAGCAAGTACTCCTCTGAGGCAGTGGAGACTGTGCAGTTGGAGCAATAAGAAGCCCTGATCAGCTCTGAACTGATCCCAAAGAAGCCCTAAGAGCTTCACTGAGATTAAGTGGACACAAGAAGCTCTTGCTGAGTACCAGTATTTTAAGCAGGGTGTTCCAGTCTCTATAGCAATAAGGGCTGGATTCCAGTTTTGGGAATGCCTCTTTGATGATGTCATGAAAACTCACAGCTCCAGGCCTGCCCTTTTTGCTTTTGCTGTCTGTCTGTTCACCTTTCTGTGTTCTTGATCATGCTGGTGCTGGGTGAAAAGGTGTTTCTGGCTGTTAAGAGTGTGGCAGTCCACATTAGACCTGTACTCCATCTCTTGGTGTGGGTTGGGTGGGCAGATAGGGAGAACTTTGGGCTCACCAGCCAGATGACTATGTATTCCCTACTTGGGAAAGTGGAGCAGATGTGCAGTTTGTGCTAAGTATGTCATACTGCTGATGGAATAGAGTACTTCCAGAGAAAGAAGAGAGAAGTTTAGCAAAGGCAAGCAGAGTTTTAGAAAAACAGCTG